AGATAAAACAGATGACAAGTCTAAAGAGAGGGATTACAGGACACAATGGATTTGTGACATGAGTTTGTTCTCTGGGTCTTACTATGAAGGGAGGAGGTTTATTAGTTTAGGATTCTATGTATTGTTCACATATGTCAATACATTCATTTATTCACTTATTGATCACATGTTTACTGAGTGCCTTCTCTATCCTAGGTGTTGGTCTAGGCATAGGGAATATACAGCCATGAGCAAGAAGGTAAGCATTCTAATAAGGGGAGACAGGTAATAAACAAATACATAAGAAAATGTCAGGTAGTGATAAATACTATAATAAAAAAATTAGAATGATGTGATAGAGGATGATAGAGTTACTTTAGGATGGGAAGGTCTTTCTGAGGAAGTGATTTGTATAAGATCTGAAATACAAGAAGTCAAACACATGGGAGAGCCTAGGAAAGAGCACTTGAAGTATGAGGAACAGCAGGAAAAGAGGCCTTACAGTGGGAATGGACTTGGTATATGTGGAATATCAAAAGGAGACCAACGTGGAGTAATCTGGGAAGAAGTGAGATTGATGAACTCTGAAAGTACATGAGCGCTATGGCATATGCAGCCCTGTGTAAGCCAGGGTAGGTAAAGAGACTTGCTGCTGGTAGTAGGGGAAGTGGAGAAAAGGAGTCAGATTTAGGATATGCTTTGAAGGTAAAGACAGGGATTTACTGAGTGAGAGACTAAGGAATCAGGTTTAATGCATATTTTTGTTCATTTGTTGGAGCTCCTGCATTTGTGCAGAATAATTAAGTTAATAAGCGTTTATTGAGAGCTTACCGTCTAGGTACCAAATACCATACAATAATCTCTGCTTTACCTGATTAGCCATACTTGTAGAAATTCAAGCCCATGCCCATAATTAATAGTTAGGAACTCATGAGAACATGGAAAGAAAAAGATTTTTAGGTTAACTTTTAACTTTGATGTAAAAGCTGAAGACAATATGATTTTTTTATAATTTATATTGAGTAGTTAGGGATGACATCTCTGAGGAAGTAACACCTGAATTGAGACTTGAAAGATAAATAGAAGTTATCCAAGTAAAGATATAATTAGGTTTTTAAAAAATTAAGCTTTGAATAGATATATGCAAATATTCTTAAGGCAAATTAAACTTTTTTTTTCAGACTACATATGGGTAAATTTTTTTTTGTTGTTTTATTTTTTTTGAGACAAGGCTGGCCTGGAACTCACTATGTTGCCCAGGCTGGCCTTGAACTCTTGATCCTCCTTCCTTTACCTCTCAAGTGCTGAGATTATAAGCATGTACCACCATGTCCAGCCATATGGGTAATTTTTAATTCTTGGCTCCTATAGTGAGTTGAATGGTATCCCACCCCCAAAATATATGTCCACCTTTGATCCCTTGGAGCCTGTGAATGTTACCTTGTTTGGAAGCAGGGTCTTTGCAGATATTATAGAATTAAGGATCTTGAGATAAGGATCATTCTGGATTGCCCAGTTGGGCCCTAAATCCAATGGTAAGTGTCCTCTAAGACACATACAGAAGAAAGACATTTAAGGATAAGGAGGGGAAGGTAATGTAAAGATAGTGGCAGAGAATGGACATATGCAGCCTTAAGCCAAGGAACACTTAGAGCTGCCAGAAGGTTGAGGAGGCAGGGAAGGATGTTCCTATGGCCCTGCCAACATCTTAATTGCAGATTTCTTGCCTTTAAAACTGTGAATTGTGAGAGAACAAATCTCTGTTGTTCTAAATCATCAAGTCTGTGGCAATCTGTAACAGCAGCCCTAGGGAAAAATATCTGTGGCTTCTCCTTGTTACTTAACATGGATCTAGGCCAGTTTCTCCTAGATTTCTATCAAATCCAATGTTATACAGATAAAACAAACTAAGAAGTAAGTGCAATGGCAAAACATCATATATCTCAAAGCCAAATGTAGTTTTTCATGTCATACATGGCTGTGTAACATGTATCACTGCTTCTATTAACAAGGATAATGAGGCATGGCCTATATGGAGATTAAACATCTCACTCAGTTTATGGCCTGAAGCCATTTGAAAGAAATTTTCCTTTTTATTTTTTTTAATCACTAGATTGCAGTTCTCTTGCTACCACTACCCTGAATCATTCTATTTTGTAAACTCTATAATTTTAACACAGATAGTAATTCATCTTATACAGTTGTTCTTTAAAGTGGTTCTATTGGCTTTAGTTGGGCTCTTCAAAAAAGGTATGAAAAATGAAGAGGAACTTACTATTTCTATTTTTATAATAATTTTTGACTTCAAATCTTACATTTCTGGATTTGCAGATGCTAACTAATCCTGTTTAATGAAGCAGTAATATAACCAAAGTTATTCTACAGAAATGACCTGGTAATGCCTCTCTTCCAATCTCCATATCACATTTTCCCCACCAAAAAGATTCTACAAAGATCAGAGGAGGTATTATGTTAAGCAAACAAATGCTATTTAAAAAAGTTACATGGATCAATAAAATGAAATAAAAGGTGTACAGATTGGAAAGGAAGAATAAAATTATTTCAATTTGCAGTGGAATGATTGCATATTTTTTTCCAGTTCTATTGACAAACAAAATTTTTTATATATTTAAGGTGTACAACCTGATGTTGTGATATGTATATGTTGTGAAATGATTACTGCAATGAACCCAATTAACATTCTGTTTTGTTTTTCGGAGACAGGGTCTTGCTATGTAACACAGCCTGGCCTGGAACTTACTACGTAGCTCAGGCTGGCCTAAAATTCATTATATAGCCCAGGTCAGCCTCAAACTTGGAATCCTGCCTCAACCTCCTGAGTGCTGGGATTACTCCATATGGTTACTTTTTCATGTATGTATGTGTGTGAAAAGGCACACTTTAGATAGACTTCTTAGCAAATTTCAATTTACAATACAGTATTACTAAGTATAGTTGGTAGGTTTTACATTAGCTCTCCAGAAGTAATTCATCCTGCATAACTGAAACTTTGTACCCTTTAACCAGTCTCTCATTTCCCCTTCTCCTGAAGCCCTTGGCAAGCACCATTCCACTCGGCTTCTATGAATTTGACTTTTTTTTAGATTTCACACACAAGTGAGAGCCATGATTTTGTGTCAGACAGTCTTAAGGAATCCAATAGTATTGAATATGCAAGCCTGTTTTTATGAAATCACAGCTACTACTATGGAAAGATTTGAAAACACATGTTGCAGTACTCAATGGTTAAAGAAATAAATTATCAGATAAACCAATAATGAAGATAATTTATTACTAATAGAGCTGCACTACAAAAAAGGAAGTTCTTCAGACCATATAAAATTTAAATATTCAAAAATAAATGAAAAACATTCAAAATGGTAAATATGTGGGTAATTATAAAATACTATTTTTTCTTTTAATTTCTTAATAAACATAACTATTGAAAGAAAAATTCCTAACACTGTATTATAGATTATAACACACACTATGATAAAATATAAATGACAACTACAACATGAAGGATGGAGTGGTGATAAACAGAACTGTAAGATTATAAGGTTCTTGCATTTCCCTTGGAGTGGTACAGTACTACCTCTGAGTAAACTATGAAAAGTTGTAATTTCTAGAGAAATCACTAAAATATAAAGTGCTAAAAGGCCACCAGACCCAACTGTATACTATCTAGAAGAGATACACTTTAAAAGTCACAGATAGGTTGAACATAAAAAACAGAAAAATATATGCAAAAAATATATGCAAACAATAAGCACAAAAGAGCTAAAGTAACTATATTAATATCAAATGATACAGACTTTAACAGGTCATAATGAAAGAAAAAGGGAGAATATTTCATAATAATAAAAAAGCCAATCAACCCACACATGGTGTCATGTGCCTGTAGTTCTAGCACTTGGGAGGCTGAGGTAGGAAAAACCACTTGAACCCAGGAATTCAAGACCAGTTTGGGCAATGTAGCAAGACCCTATTTCAAAAAAGCAAAAAACCTAAAATCTCAGAGAATACTACCACCAAAAAAAGAGCCAAGTCATTAGGAAAGCATAGTAACTGTAGGTATATAGGCACCTAATACCAGAGATCAAAATTCACAAAGACTGACATCATTTAAAGGGAAGACTAGATAAACCCATATATTATACTTGAAGATTTTAAACACTCTTCTCCCACTAATAGAACAAGTACACACACAAAAAAAAATCAATACAGACAAAGGATTGGCATTATGACTAAAATGGTAGAGGATCTGCATCAAAAACGTAGAGCCCTCAGTTCAAACCCTAGTACTGCCAAAAAAAAAAAAAAAAAAAAAAAAGACAGAAGATCTGCATAACACTATTAACAATTTTGTTCTAAATGACATAACACTACCGGTCAAATTTTAGAATACATATTCTTTTCAAATGCAAATAAAACAAAAAACCTGACCATATACTAGGCCATAAAGAAAAACTAGGTTGGGAATGTTTGCAACAACTGGTACTTCAAGACTTTCTATAAAGTTACAGTAATCAAACCGTGGTATGGGCATAAGCACAGGCACAGAGAGAGAGACAGAACAGAGTTTAGAAACAGATCCACATTTAAATAGTCATTTGATTTCTGACAAACGTGTCAAAGAAAAGTAATGAAGTGCCTTTTCAACAAATGGTGACAGTGAAACTAAATGTCCTTCCCCTGGACCCAACAGTTTAATTCCTAGGTATTTATTCAAGAGAGCCCACCCTGGCTCAGATGAGACAAGTTCTGCAGTTGCATGCACTCTGCCTCTGTGTTGATGCTCATTTCCAAGGCTAATTATCTGAAGATGGGCATCTACCTGACTACAGCCCTTAACACTGTGAAATGTATTTGCTCAGCATCTTGAGGTGAAATGGAAGGCTCAGACAATGTCAATAAAACAAAATCAATCAAAAGACAATGCCAAGAAAAACTGACATTTGAAGGAGGGCAGCCACCTAAGAGATTATGGTGTTTGAGCAAGAACTTTTGGGTTTCATTACCTTTATCAAGAGATGCTCCAGCCATATGATAAAAACTCAATGCAGTGTCCACATCATTAATATTCTTTAGGAAAGTAAAGAAGTTCTCCACCTCCTGAAATGTCAGACCCTAAAAGAAGAGAGATAGCAAGGTAAGGCAGGACCTGTAGCAAAAAACAGCACAAAATGCAGAAAACTAGGTAGCTGTATCACATCTATAAGTCGGAAACTTGTGCTTATGTCTAGAACACAGATTGAATAAATTAGTCAAGGAATGTCAAATTTGTACATATTCTAGAACAAAATTCTAGAATATTACCCTGAGAAAAGCAGGCTAATTGCTCTCCCCCCACCAATATGTAAAGTCTGACAGAAAGCTGCTTGCAATGATGGTTGGCTATTTTTAGTGAAAATAACTGTGCTTCACTCACAACCATCTGTATGACACTGCCTAAGTGGGCTCTAGCCACTTGATGTGTTATACATCTTAAGAAGTAATAGCAGAGCCAGGATTTTCATTTTAATGTCTGCTCACAGGCCAGCTAAGCTTTTTGAGGCTCAAGCTAATTAAAGATTCACCAAAGTCAGTGATCTAACAAGGGAGGCTTTCAGTGTTTAGCAAAATCCCAGCACTGGGGAAGCTACTAATGAAATAATCACTATGTAATTTTATAAAATTCTGTGAATAAAGAAATTCTTTTCAAGAGCTGTTCAAAGATTTGCTCATCTTAACTCTACCTTTTAGGACAGATCAAGGGAAAAGAGTTGCATGAATAGGACTACCCTGAGTTCCTTTACAGGAAGGGGTCCTATTTACTTTTCTCTTCTTCCACACATCATGATGTGACAGCAGTGAATACAGTTATTCTTAGAGGCAAAACACCCTTTTTTTGTTGTTGTTGATTGTTTTTTTTTAATGAAACTGGGCCATTTTAATATTTTTTTTTACAGCTGAATAAATAGCTATCTTGATTGCAGATATGTAAGGCTGTAAAGCACACTTTGAATGAAGAGTCAGGCTCTTAACGGGTTGCAGATGTTGACTAGCATCAACTTAGTGCTTGCTGCTCCTTTTCTGACTCTATCTCACAAACTACAGAGCCCAGAACTTGGTAATGAGGAAAACTTAATACAGATAACCTATAGTTCTTTCCTGGTGTTCTCTAAATCGGGTAAATTGTATCTTTCTCATGTTATCAAATCAAATAGAAAGCTAAAATGTTTGTATGATTATGTCACATGACCTTTTGTAATTTTTTTCTCTTTGGAATCAGAGAACTTCAAAAACGTTTTTCTTTTCTTTCTTTTTTTTTTTTGTACTGGAGATTGAACTCAGGCAGGGCCTCATACTCTGTAGGCAAGCAACCTACCACTAGAGTCATGCCCCAGTCCTTCATCATTTTGTTTGTTTTTCAGACAGGCTCTCTTGAGAACTTTGCCAGAGCTAGCCTTGGACTGAGATCTTCCTACCTCTGCATCCTGAGTAGATGGGATTACAGACATGCATCACCATGACTGGTTTGTATCGCCATACCTGACCTGTTTTTTGAGATAGGGACTTGCTAACTTTTTTGCTCAGACTGACCTTGAACCATGATCATCCTGTTCCTGCTTCCTAAGTACCTGGGATTACAGGTGTGTGCCACCATGACTGGTCCTTAAGATACTTTTTCTTGTGGAATATGATGATCTTGTGGAATATGATATAGAAAGGTACATGGAATACAAATAAACAGCAAACTTGCAAAGTGAGCATCCAGGTTAAGGAACAGACTGTTGTCATTATCATAGAAGTTTCTGTCCATCCCCACAATAGCCCTTTCTCAGTCCTAAGCTCCACCACCACCCATACCCCCAGCAGTAACCACTATTCTGACTTTTAGGGGATTAATTTCCTTTTTTAAACAACAGCACTAAAATATCTATTTATGCATCCTTAAAAAGAAACTGTTTATCTATTTTTGAACTTTAAAATAAAATTATACAGTATATGTTCTGTTATAGATGACTTAAGATTTGTTCTTGATTTGTGTATATCTAAGGTTTATTCATTTTATTGTTATAAAGTATTCTACATTTGCTTTTATATTTCAAATGGGCTATTTCCAGTTTTTGGTAATTATGAATAGCAGTAAATCTGTATTCAAAGTTGGGGGCTGGTGGTTCATACCTGTAATCCTAACTCTTGGGAGGCAGGTATCAGGAGGATTGCCCAGTCTGGGCAAATAGTTCTTGAGACTCTATCTCAAAAAGACCCAACACAAAAAAGGACTGGCAAAGTGGCTCAAATGGTAGTGTGCTTAGCGTGAGGCCCTAAGTTCAAACCCCAGTATTGTCAAAAAACAAAACAAAACTATATTCAAGCTTTCATTCAAACAGGAGCAGCTACTATGTACTGAGAGCCCTAATTTTTCCAGTGAACTGCAAGGCCTGTTTTGTATACTTTTCTCCAATTTGAGGTCATTCTTTTGGCCTTGGAGCACCCAAGTGAAGCACTCATTCCTTATATGGATGCTGCATGCTATGCAATGTAAGCACTTGGCTAGAATCTACCTTACAGAGGAGAATACTACTGGATTAGAAGAACATGTTCTATATCACTGCTTACAGATGGTTACACTGACACCACCTTCCTTTCCCCTCTATCAAGACATGCGAAGGTGAAAGCAATCCAAGTGTCCACGGATGGATGAATGGACAAATGTTAAATGGACAAATGGACAAATACACATATGTGTGTATGTGTATACATACAATAGAATATTATTCAGCTTTTAAAAAGGAAAATTCTGACAGAAGCTACAATAAGGAAAGGCTTTGAAGACATTATGCCAAGTAAATTAAGCCAGTCACAAAAGAACAAATGGCAAAACTCTATAACTGTACTTATATGAGGTACCTAGATTAGTCAAATTCAGAGAAAGAAAGTAGAATGGTTGACTACAAAGGGTTGTGGTGGGGGAGAGCGGGGAGAGTTACTGTTTAGTGGGTAAGAAGTCCAGTTTGGGAAGGCAAAGTAAGTTCTGGAGATGAATGATGGTCATGGTGCTCACTAGTGTGTATGTACTTAAATGCCACTGAGTTGTACACTTAAAAATCATTAAAGTGGTAACCTCCTTTTTTTGGGGGTGTGGGGGTGGGGCTTTGTGCTTGCAAAGCAGGTGCTCTACTTCTTCAGCCACATCACCAGTCCATCTTTGCTTTTGGAGATGGGCTCTCATCAACTATACGTTTATGCTAGCCTCAAACAGTGATGCTCCTAATCTGAGCCTCCCAAGTCTCTCTCCTCCCTCCCTCCCTTCCTTCCTCCCTCTGTCTTGTCTGGGGATCCATCTCAGGGTCTTATACTTGCTAGGCAAACACTCTACCACTTGAGCCACATCCTCAGTCAACTTTTATGTTATGATCATTCTGAGTGAGGTTAGCCTGGCCCAAAAGACCAAAAATCGTATGTTCTCCCTCATATGTGGACATTAGATCAAGGGCAAACACGACAAGGGGATTGGACTTTGAGCACATGATAAAAGCGAGAGCACACAAGGGAGGGGTGAGGATAGGTAAGACACCTAAAAAACTAGCTAGCATTTGTTGCCCTTAACGCAGAGAAACTAAAGCAGATACCTTAAAAGCAACTGAGGCCAATAGGAAAAGGGGACCAGGAACTAGAGAAAAGGTTAGATCAAAAAGAATTAACCTAGAAGGTAACACCCACGCACAGGAAATCAATGTGAGTCAATGCCCTGTATAGCTATCCTTATCTCAACCAGCAAAAACCCTTGTTCCTTCCTATTATTGCTTATACTCTCTCTTCAACAAAATTAGAAATAAGGGCAAAATAGTTTCTGCTGGGTATTGAGGGGGGGAGAGGGAGGGGGTGGAGTGGGTGGTAAGGGAGGGGGTGGGGGCAGGGGGGAGAAATGAACCAAGCCTTGTATGCACATATGAATAATAAAAGAAAAATGAAAAAATAACTTTTATGTTATGCACATTTGAACACATACATTAGATATGCTTAAGTTTTTACATTTTTTTTAAATTAAGGTATAGATTCCTGTAGGAGGCGGCCGGGGACTGAATACAGGGCCTTGAGCATGCCAGGTAAGCACCTCTACCACTGACCTACATCTTCATCCTGGGCCTGAATTATTGGAAGGACTAAAAGGCTAACATAAAATTCCTAAAATGGAAGGACATGGTAGAGGAAATATTTCCTACTCTGATAAACAACCTCTAATGTTTGCTATTTTTTTTTTGTGAAACATTAAATACTATAGTTCAAGTCTATACTGCTTATGCTGAAAAAATTTGAAGAGAGAGAGAGAGAAGAGAGAGAACAAGCTGAATTGAGTGGCTATTCATCTGATGATTTATAAAAACAGTAGAATACAAATCATACTATGTCACTATTAAAGCTAAATATATAACACTTTGCCTTTACTACACATATCTAATAAAAAATATTTATCAAGAACCTACTGCCCACTCAGTACTATGTCAAGAGCAGTGAGAAAAATAAAATTGCATTGGATATGGTCCTTGATTTTATGGAGCTTGTAATTTTAGATGGCCTTCTTAAAGAGAAGAGGATGCCAGTTACAAAATTCTTATTTCTTGGTAACTACTCTAGTAAAAAATGTAGAGGCCTATTAGAATAAAACTAGAGTAAGACTATACCATGAGCTTTGTGGATGTTAAAGCAGAAACTGAAAGAATCTGTTTATTGTGAGCTGAGCTGTTCAGACTAGAAGGCTAGAGCTTATGTACAATCTGTTGGCAGGTGATTTAAACTGTGGAAATAGAAGTTGAGAGGACATCTCCTTCTGTTAGGCTTCTATCAATGGAATTTTTTGATACACTTTGGGAGGTAGTTATCTTCCCCTGTGACCAACTGTTCAGCAAACTAGTTATCTACCTACCTTGGAAAGATGGACTTATATAAAACTGAGCTCTAGGTACCTCCAAAAAAGATTAATGTAGTTTATGGACAGTAGAGACACTTCTTTGGGTTGTATAAAAATGAATTTGACATAAGGAAGTTATTAAGGAGTGAATGATCTTGAATAGAGCAAAAGCTCTTACGTAACACACCCAAAGCACAACTCATAAAAGAAAAAAAAGGATAAATTAGGC